GCGAGATCCATTTTCAATATTTTTTGAGAAAAAAATTTCTTGCCTCTCGGTACCAACTGCATACCATATGTAATTCATTTTTGAAAACACTTGCACAGAAGAAACGACTTCATCGTGATCTATTGGATCTACAAATTTCTGGGTGAACAAATTACAGGACCAAAAAATACCACACAATACCACCCTGGTACAAGGTGGTATCTTGTGGTACACAATGTTAAAAGTCTTAAATGACAGTGAATATACTTCTACTATCATGTATTCAACCATCCTACAGTCTTGGTTTGTTCATACTACCATGGTACACTTTTCAAACCATAGGTATGCTCTTATTTCGATACCAGTCAATACCATATGGTATAGACTGGTAAAAAATGACTCAATTTTTTTTGTTCAAAAATATATCAAAGTGGATATCATTTTGAAGAACACAAATAATTTGATCTAACTGTGAAAAAAAATTAAATTTTGACTTAAAACTAGTGAGAAATCGTCCATCAAATATTAGGGGGGGAATTAAAGGCTTTTCAGGAGAGAGAAGAGGCGCTAATGTGGCGGATGGTGATTCGGTAATGCATAGTTATTGACCGGATCTGCTCCCGTACGTTTAGAACTTTGGCATCAATATAAAATACTAGAAATCTATAATTTGAAAGTATATATACATAAAAATTATTGAATTATTGATTGGGTATATTTGAATATGTGTTTAGTACGTAAAGTATCAGATAAATTGTTAAAAGAGAGACGACACTATAATAGAGTGAGAGTTTCAAATGCATTTAGTACTTATTCGAGGTATTAAATTAATTTTGCTAACTATGAATGACAAACATGTGACATCCACATCATTAAGTGCTAACAAAGCTCAATGGTGAAAAGATAGGACTATTGATATTAACAATCAATCGATCAAAATCTGTCTATCATTTTAAAATTTCATAATTTCTTTTAAAATTTCAAATAAATCGCTAGAAAATTATCATTTTAGCAAATAAGGTACTAAAAAACAAATCAATGAGAAATTAAATAAGGTACTAAAATTTCAAGCACCCGCTCCAGATGGTTTTCATGCTGGTTTTCTATCAACAAGCCTGGAACGTGGTAGGAAAGTCTTTAATAGATATGGCTTTGGCTTTCTTCAACACGGGGTCTTTGCTTGACAAGGTCTCAGAGTCTACGGTCATGCTCATTCCCAAAGTCGATCACCCCGAGTTTGTGACCCAACTCCGACCTATCTCGCTCAACAACGTGAGCCTCAAGGCTATTACCAAAGCGATCACTAGTAGGTTTAAGTCGGTCATTGAGGAAACTCATCTCTCCTCGGCAGAGCAGCTTCATTCCGGGCCGTCAGACTACAGATAATGTCATTGTAGTGCAGGAAGTGCTCCACTCTCTGGGAAAGCGGAAAGGGAAGAAAGGAGGCATGATTCTTAAGATTGATCTCGAGAAGGCTTATGACATGCTGCGGTGGGATTTCCTTCGTGATACCCTGAAGGAAGTGGGTCTTCCCAGCTCTTGGATCAGTTGTAGCATGTATTGCGTGGAGAAGAATAATATGCGGGTTCTTTGGTATGGCAACCTCTCCTCATCCATCACTCCCACTCGAGGAGTTCGTCAGGGAGACCCTCTTTCGCCTTATCTTTTTGTCTTATGCATGGAGCGTTTATCTCACAGGATCGACGCGGTCCTTCATAGTGGACAATGGAAGCCCATTAGGCTCACTAAGAATGGACCGCCTCTCACCCATCTTTTCTTTGCAGATAACCTCTTGCTCTTCGCAGAAGCAGAAACGAGACAGATCAGGATCATCAAGCAGTGCCTTAACGACTTCTGCTCCAGCTCCGGGCAGCGGGTCAACTACGCCAAGTCATTGCTTTTTGTGTCCCCAAATGTGGATAGATCGAAGGCTAGCGCTCTGAGCGCCAGAGCGGAGATTCCCCTGAAGATGGAGCTGGGAAGATATCTTGGCATACACGGTCTTCAAGGCCGGGTGACGGCGGGGAGATACCAGAGCCTTCTTCTGCGCATTCAGAAGAAGTTAGCTCCGTGGAAGCAAAACGCTTGTCTTTGGCAGCTCGCCTCACTGTATCCAGGTCTATCATTTCCTCTCTTCCCACTTATCATATGCATACAGAGTTACTGCCTAAGGGAGTTTATGCTTCTATTGATCGTATTAACAGGGACTTTGTTTGGGGCGAGGAGGATGGGAAATCCAAGCTCCATTTAGTTGGTTGGGAAAAGATGATCCTGCCAAAGGACCAAGGGGGGGCTGGCCTTCGTTCGGTGCGGAATGCCAACCTGGCCATGCTCGCCAAGAGTGGATGGATACTCCTCAAAGAGAAAGATTCTCTGTGGACCCAGGTGATCAGGGATAAGTATGGTCGGGACAAGGAGAATCTGGATATTTTTCGTTCTATTCAGGGAAGTTCCTTCACCTGGAGAAGCCTTAACAAGGCTTCTCTTCTCCTAAAGGGAGGTTGTGCATGGAATATCAAGAATGGAAAAGCTACTAAGTTTTGGCATGACTCTTGAATTGTGCAGGAACCTCTTTTGAATCTGGTGGAGGAGGAGATCCCCAACTCGCGAAGGGATGAGGCTGTGGCGGATTTGATTTCTGATGATGGAGGTTGGCGCACGGAGCTTTTCGAAGACCTCCTACCACCGGATATCCAGATGAAGATCACTAGTGTGGCGGTGGATAAGCTCTCCAACGAGGAGGACACCCTCTTCTGGACTTTGCCTTCGAACGGCCGCTTCACCACGAAGACTGCATACCAGTCTCTTTTGCCAGAAGGAAATGATCTGGATGCCAAGTTTTGGAAAATTATTTGGAGTCTTCCCGTTCCGGAGAGGGTTCGTTGTTTTATTTGGTTTGTGAGCCTTGGTAGAATTGCTACCAATGCCCTTCGGCACTCCAGGAAGATCTCTGATTCGGCGGACTGTGGGAGATGTAGCGGGCAGGCTGAAACTATTCTGCACATCCTTCGGGACTGTCCCCCGGCTACTTACTTCTGGGTTAGGCAAGTGCCAAGTGAAAGACAGCAGGCTTTCTTCTCGGCGAACACGGCGGACTGGTTGCGGATGAACCTTGCAGCGGGCGAGCCTAAGCATGTGGGGATCTAGTGGCCTGCTTTCTTCAGTATGGTTGTTTGGTTGTTGTGGAAGAACAAGAATGACATGTGCTTTAAAGGTATTTATTCCAGTCTCACTCCTCCATCCTTGACTCACTCGATTGTAGCTAAAGCCAAGTTGTGGAGCGAGGCTTGGCGAGCGCCCTCACTGTTGCCGAATGGAAGGAGAGCCACGGCGGTCCGGGTGATGGCCAAAATTGCGTGGAAGCCGCCTCCTGGTGGGTGGGTGAAGCTTAACATCGATGGTGCTTCTAATGGGAATCCGGGACCTGCTGGGGCAGGAGGCGTATTGAGAGACGAGCTTGGGCGGTGGCTTGGTGGTTTTGTTGCCATCATAGGAGAAGTTTCTGCAGATTTGGAAGAGCTTTGGGCTTTTCATCATGGTTTGGATATAGCTTGGAAATTTGGTTACCGCCAGATCTTGGTTGAATCAGACTCACAATTGGCCATTCAGCTTATTGAGGATAGACATGACCCTGTCCACCCTTATGCCACCTTACTTGCTGCCATTCGCAGGAGGCTTAGCCGTGACTGGCTGGTGCGCGTAGTTCATGTTTACCGGGAAGGGAATAGAGTCGCGGACTGGCTCTCGAAGCACAGTCTCGTCTATCCCTACGGTGTACAGGAGCTCGCACACCCGCCGGAAGGAGTAGCGACCTTTCTTCAGGATGATATTCAGGGAGTTTCTTTTGAGAGGCGGATTGTGTCCCGCTAATGTAACTCCTCTTCTCCTCAACCCCCATGTAACTTCTCTTCTTGGCTTTTTCCTCCTCTTATGCAAAAAAGAAACTCACAAGCTAAAGTCATAGACCCTAATCCAAATCCTAGCCACAGCAAAGCGTGGAAACATATCTAGTTATTATTTGAACCTTATTAGCTGCCTCTCATTTCCTTTTTGTTCAAGCGCTAATCCAACAATATTTAACCATCATTATTTTGCTTTTTTAAGGCGGATTAAATTGTTTCCCCCCTAATTTATGTTCATTCTATTGACTGTGAGTGTACTGCACTTAAAAGAGGTGAATAGTACTGTTGATGGTGTATTTTTGCTAAGTTCGATTATGCATCAAGGGCAAGACTTAATCTCTTATAATAGAAATTTCTAGCACCATAGTCATGCATTTTTTGGTTGGTCATTTTGTAGGTGCTCATTTGATATGAAAATAATTGAAGGAAGAGTCGATATATCAGGTGATAGTTCACTTTTATTCGCTTTTATAAATTTATGAGTAATTAAGCATGCTCTATCGAATATTGCTAATGCCGTTTTCTTTTATTTGTTGTGGTTTTTTGTGGCAACTCGATACTGGTCATCCGGCATACTCCGTCGAAAGAAACTACACTCGCTGGCGGGACTATCTTGGAGATGTTGTATTTTTATTTTTCCTTTTTTTCCGTCAGTGTCGTGTATTTGCTCCTCGGAGCTTCTTCAGAGCTGCCCATGTATTGGTTATCAGGATCTTTCATCGTTGCTGGTTGCATACAGACTAACGCGCAGTGTTCGAGTCGGTCTGTAATTGTGTCGAGTCTTTGTCCCATACCTTTTGAGCTTGCCTTGAAAAAAAAAACAATTCTCCAAGTAACTAACGAATCAATAAATTGAACCACATACGACCAAAGAATCACACGGAATTGCGAATAGTCAAAAAGTAACGTGAAACCATAATTAAGAAAAGAGAAAATTTATAGTATTGACCACTTCATCGGCCTTTAAATAAGCCACTTCCCTCTCCTCACATTATAACCAATAGTCCAACAATTACATTACAGTTTCCTATTCTGTGGGCATAATTGTAGACCTAACAAGTCTCCTTGAATATAACTCCACCATACAATAACATACAAACTTTTAAAACGAAATGCAAACTCGAATCTCGTTGAGAAATAAAAAAAAGGCCATCATAAACCACAAAAATTTTGATAATAATTGAGAACGAAAAGGATCCAAAAAAAGTTCATAGAATTATGAACAAGGAAGAGGATAAAAGACCATGGGCTGATATATGTCCAGATCTCTTGGATTCCATCTACAACAGACTCTCGTCGCATGTTGACGGTACTCACTTCGGCGACGTATGTAAGAATTGGCACAAAGTCCACTCTCACATCGTCCTTTTCAATCGTCGACCTGTGTTGATCAAGAAAAGAAATTTGTACAGCTCGGACGTCATGCAAGTATGGGATGGTAATCGACTTGTCCTCCAACGATGTCGTGAATCTCAAATCCCATATTGGCTTGCAGATGTAGACATAAGGATCCTTGGGACGGCGGGTGTGTGGTTGCTTATAAAAGTGCGTGATGCTTTTTTGGGCTGGTACAATCCTCTACTCCGATGTCCTGCAAACTACATCAGTCTTCCCAACCCGAGTTGGCGTTTTTGCACCAATGACAACCATTACAAACCGGACACAATACTCAAATTTGCTTTCTCAGCACTACCCACTGCTCAGGACTCGTCAATGCTCGTGGTGTATGGCGATCGTTATTTCTGCATGTTTCGTCGTCGAAAAAATGTTGAATTTGAGCAAAAAACATATGATTTCTCCTTGGGTGTGAAAAAAGTACAAACATGCCTCAGCGTGGGATACAAAGATGGTAGATTCTTTTGTTTATTTGAAATGGGAGATATGTTGATTTTTAGCATCGACGAGAATGACACCAGGATGTTATTGGCTGCGACTAAGCCTCTGCTTTCCGAACAACTCCAACGATGGGACAGTTTGACTGTAGTGGCGATTGTGGTGGCCAAAATAATCAGAGCTGCAAATTATCAATACCATGAGGTAGAAGAAGTGATAGGGTTTAGGCTTGTCACTCGTTGGGGGCGAGATCGTGAGGGGAGCTTCCGGCTAGTAACATCGGAGGAAAATCTTATGACATCGACCGATCTATTATTGGAGAATAACAATGATAATGACTTGGAGGAAAACAATATAACAGGAGTGATTTTAGTGAAAGACCCATTGCCATTGAAGAGGAATTTCGACATATATTATTGGTACATATTGTATGCTCTTTTTTTCATACTAGTCTTGTGTTTTATGGTTTGGATTGCCTTTTTGTTCCAAAAGTAGAGTAAGGAAGGGGTGCATTGCGTGTCATTATTATTATTATTATTATTATTATTATTACTTTTTTTGGCCGAATAAAATTAATGTTGATGGCGATGGAGGCGCACTGTTTTTACTTCTAAAAGTGGAAAAATTAGCAAATCCTTCGATACTAAATACCGTAGTTCGAAGAGCTTCAGTAACACACAGTTGAAGATCTTTCATCACCAGCATGGTTTGCTGATATGAGAAGCTCTGATGTTTCCCCTTCTTTCGTGGCTTGGTTGCAGGCAAGAGTTTTACAATTCTCTCACTAATATATGGGGTTTAATTACCATAAAGCAGTCACTAAACTTTGGCATCACTTACAAATTGGGCGCTACAATTAATTCTGAATAACTTACAAAATAGTCGCATTTGTCCATTCCTGTCAAGTTTTTTATCCAAATTATATGCCCCGATTAATATGTCAAGGGGTAGATTGCAAGTTTGGTCATATGTGGCGAGATCGTGAGGCGAGTGACAAGAATAGCTTCCGACTGATAGCGGTGGAGGAAAATGCTATGAGAATGAAAATTTTATTATTAGAAAATGACGAGGATTGTGAAATGGTGTCATTGGAGGATGGGGACAATAGTAACTAGTAAGGGGATGATTTTAGTGAAACACCCATTGTGCTTGAAGAGGAATTTCGACCAATTTTATGCTTTCACATTGTCCATTGTAATTGTTGCTCCACTCGTTGTATGTTATATTGTGTTTTGGATTACCAATTTGATCAGCGGTTCATTGATCTATTAATAGGACAAATCACGTGGAATTACGAATGGGAAAAAAATAACATGGCTATATAATTATAATTATCACTACTATTCCATTGTTTGCTTATACGATTGTTGCTTTATGCATGTAACAGTACATATTTGATCTTCTTTGTTTATCCTCATCCATAGACTTGGATTTAGTTGTAAGACAAGGATACTATTGCAATTTGGTGGATTTTCTTACAACACCATCCAACTTGGACATGAGACCCTAAAATACTACAAGCGTTGGAACGATTTTGTGAACATATTCGTTAATTGATTCGAAGAAAAAATTAGCGTGTATTACTTTTATGCTACGTGGTGTTGCAACTTGCAATTTCGACATATGTAGTAGGCTTTTAATTAATTGGATTATCAATTAACTTAATGGCAGAAATACTATCACAATATACAAAGGCAGAAGTGGAGAGGAAGTAATATCTAAATCACAACAGACATTAAGTTTCTAATGCGAAGTCAAGTGGAGGTTGAGGAGAAGAAGTCAAACATGAAGGTTGTGAAGGAATAACAGTTTCTGGAACTTTCATACAAGGAAAATTAGTAGACATAATCACGCAAATAATGTTATGTTCTAAAGTTAGGCATATTGTGGGCTAAGGTAGAATTTAGAAGCAAGTGAAAAACAACCATATTGTTAGAAACAAGATTGGTTGGTCTTGTTCTTAGGGATTGATCTGGGATGGAAAAGAATTGAAATGGGGAAGGAGTTGGTGAAAACTCAAAATATGAGATGCATTCAATAGGAGATTTTGAGTGTATCTTTTCTTGGATGATTTCTTGTAAAGAAAAGAGAAGTAATTTTATTGATTTGCAAATAGAGTTTAGACTACACAGTGAACCCTAGCCAAGCCAAGTAACTTGGCCCTTTGAGAAAAACAACACTCAACACTCCTACTTCCCAAGATTCGAATCACCAGTACACTCCCATACACTGTGATTCAATCTACTGAAGCAAATACATTCATGGACCCAAAGTAGAAGAGTTTTAAGACCCAAAAACTCTCACTACAGAATGCCAAATTGCTACTGAGCAGAAGGCTAACAATTTATAGTGTGAATAGCAGATGACCGTTTCCTAATCAGGAGCCTTCCATAGTCTTCATCATTCATCATCATAGAGACAGTGCTAGGTGGAGCAGGCTCGAGAAAGCTGAAGCTTCTGCTGAGAGAGGACGATCGAGAGAAGGAAACAGGGAGATCATCAATCAAGGAGTCCTCTCTTGAAGTGCTCTCTTGACTTCGATGGACGATGTAGCGAAACGGCATCATTGCGAGGTTCGTGAAACGACATCGTTGTGAAGTGCTCCGTTTTGATGGATAGCGCGTCGTTTCAGGGCCAACAGTTGGGGTTTGAGGGAGAAGATCAGAAGAAGGAAAAGGGGATTATGAAGAAGGAGCCGACAACTATCTTGGGAAGAGGGGAAAAGAATCAGACGTGGGGGGAGAGGGAATTAGAGATATGTTTAGTTTTTTCTTGATAATAATCTGCTTAACGAAAATAATCCTCGGTTTACAGAATATAAACCCAAAATAATTACCCTTTGCTAACCAAAGAATAACTCTTAACCAGAATAGGCCAGTAATGTTTAAAATCCCCAAAAAGAATAAATAGGGCTAAAATCCCTAATTAACCAAATCCCTAAATAAATCCCCAACCCCCCCCCCCCAATGTTTCTAACATTCCTCCCCCCTTAAGACCAATCTTGCCGTCAAGATTGGGTCTCGTCTCGTTCTTCTTCGCGGTCCACTTCTCCACCTCATCCTCCCAGCGCCTAATTAGCATCATCAGATCCGGATTTGCGCATTGATGGCCAAATATGAACCTCTCATTGCAGTTGAAACATTTCAATTTCCACCTCTTCTGCTCGATCTCCGCTAGTGATAGCTTGACGAACCCTTTTGGAAAAGCTTGTGGGTCGGGTGGGACCGCCCCTGGTGCGGCACCCATGAAAGTGGTTTTCCCTCCTACTCCTCCTGTCACTCCATCAACCCCAATGCCGGGGACGCCTCCACTCTCTCCTCCACTTGGCCTCTGGTAATGCCCAAAGGTGTTTAGCGATCTCCTCCTCCTTTCATCTTGCAAGACGAAAAGCAGAACGCAAGGTATCCGGTTCAAATACCTTGACATCAGTTTTGCTCTCCGGACGCACTCCCGCCATGCACAACCCCACTAACATCTCCTATGTAACGCCCTTGCACATGTTCCCAAATTTGAAGAACTCGGATTTGTAATCAGCCACCAATTGGGTCTGCCTTAGCTTAGCCAGCTACTCCAGAGCACACCCTTCCGATTTCCCGAACTGATGTCGGAACTCCTCCTGGAACCTCGTCCATGTGATCAATGTGTATATCGCATCATAAGACTGCTCTAACCATTCCCACCATTGCAGGGCATCGCCCTCCAAGTAGTAAGACGCCAGGTGCGCTTTTCTTTCCTACTTAGTGGGATGGTTCTTTTTTTTCTTGAACCACCTGTCAGCAGCATACAACAACAATCATGCATCCTCCTGACCATTGCACTTAGGAAATTCAATGGTCAGCGGTCTCGCTCTAAAAATCAAGTCATCATCACCATCATAAGCAGAATAAGGCCTACCATACCTGCCTCCCTAATAGCCGCCTTGGCGACTCTGGTAGCTGTCACGGTGTGGCTGTGGTAACGCCCAATGACCATCTTCATCAAACTGATCCCCCATGCCTCCTCCAAAACCTTATCCCACTTCCCAGCTACACCCCCGTGGCCTATCCTCGAGTTCAGGCGTAGTCCACGGCAAGTAAGGACCCCCGAAAACACCCCTGCCTCTATTCCAGGGTTCATTTTGACCCCCATCTGCCCCACTACTAGCTGTTGTCTGGGTCACCCTTGACCGGTTCGGGTCTATTTGGCCTGGCCAGACCTCGATCAAACCCATACCAGTTTGACTGGTTTTGCTTCGCTCGGTTGGATCCCTCTCGCGATTGGGTTGCGGGCCCAGACGACTCATGTCATCTTCCAAGCACGCTGAATCGTAGTCCGACATCTTGGCCTTGGCCCGGATTGCCGCTACCTCTTCGACCATCGAAGTCGGCAACAAGCCTGCAGCTGCATTGCACCCGCTAGAACCTTGGCCCGCACTCCCCACCGTTGTGGTCGCCACAGCTTCGGCCGTGTCCCCGCCACCCACGGCGTTGCGTTCTCCGTCAACAATCGATTACGCCTTCGTTGGCGCCTCCATAAGCCCTAACGCAGCGAGCATTCGTTGTTGCGTTATCTAGATCTCCTCAAGCGTTGCGTTCATCTTGGCAAACCCTTCCCACGGCTTCGAGTTCTCTGCGGCCAGCTTCCGTTGTTCTTCCTTCAGCGCGTCCATGTCCGTCAAATCTCCGACCTCGCGTTCCCGCGGTGTAGGACCGACCCCCTGCACTGCCTTCTCCTGGGCTTCCTTCTCTGCAGCCTTTTCAGCTGCGTTTTGTGACTTGGTTTGCACCATTGAATTTCTTCGAATTGTTTCTGGAGTTGTGATGAACTCGATCTTGCAACCAGGCTCTGATACCACTATTAGAAACAAGATTGCTTGATCTTGTTCTTCGGTGTTGATTTGGGATGGAAAAGAATTGAAATGGGAAAGGAGTTGGGGTTTGAGGGAGAAGAACAGAAAAAGAAAAAGGAGAATAGGAAGAAGGAGTTGTCGCCTCTCTTGGGAAGAAGGGAAAATAATCAGACGTGTGGGGAGAGGAAATTAGAGGAGATAGGCTTAGGTTTTTCTTGATAATAATTTGCTTAATGAAAATATTCCTCTTTTTACATAATATAAACTCAAAATAATTATCCTTTGCTATCCAAAGAATAACTCCTAACCCGAATAGGTCAATAATGCCTAAAATTCCAAAAATGAATAAATAGGGCCAAAATCCCGAATTAACCAAATGTCTAAATAAATCCCAAAACCCCCAATGTTTCTAACACATAATCTCATGCTTCAATATTGCCTTTAGAGGCTCTTGGTAAACCAATATGCTTTGTTCAAAGGAACGAAACAAAATCAACATACATCATCACAGGCTAACATGCAGCGCTTCTACGGAAGGCGATATCAGAAAAGAAATTGGCCGGGATTAAAGTGGCTCCTCGCGCCCCCAGATTGTCGCACTTATTTTTTGCAGACGATTCCTATTTATTCCTGCGAGGCACGC